GTTACGTTGTTTTGCCCTGGATCGGCCAAGCGTGCTAGTATTCTTATTATAACTCTATTGTAAAAACACATAGGGGCGGTCAAAGAGCAAAACACAGTTTGATGCCCAAATAAGTATGAGTATTTTGTTTTAATTTATAGGATGCAGAGTTCAACAGCTCCCAGGGTTTTGATGTATTGATGAAGAGGTTACATGATGGCAGAGAAACCTGTAAAGAATATGAGAAGTTCTTAAAAGAAAGGTACTACAAAAAATTTTTTGTTCATGAATACGATAGGAGTGGTGCATGTACAGTAAGAGTGAAGGTGTGTTTGCCCCAGGGAATGTTTACTGCCAAAGCATCCCTTCTCCCTTCCACTGAGCAAACAACTTTTACTTCTTCCAGCTAGTTCCTGTCAATTTCCAATCACGTCAACACTCCCCCTCCCCTCCCCGCCCCACCCTTCCCATGTCAATACTTGTAGATATGATACTATTTCAACAGTAATCAGGCTCCAAAATAACCGGATTATTATTGTTAAGTTTATTAATATTATTATTGTTATTATTATTATTTTTAATTTAATTATTTTCATCTTTTCAGGGCTAAGGTTGAAGAACAATATGCACGTAACTTAATACGTTTAACTAAGAATGTGTCGTCTAAGGAAGAAATTGATGGGTAATTATATAGGTTATAATCATGTCAATTAATGATTAAGTGATAATAAGTACAGGATTTATAAATGCGCCATTTATCTAACATGCTATTCCGAGGTGCACTGACTCTTGAAGAAAAAAATAAATATTTCTCATTTTTCTTTTTGTCTTAAAAGCAGTAAATAAAAGGTGATGCTTAAGTATACGATTTACTTAATCTAAGTAAATTATGTCATTTTTATTAATTTAATTTATTGCAATTATTATGTTAGTTTTGCCAGAAATTCTTATTTTCTTTCTCTTATTCCTTTTTGTTTTCATGTTTTATTCCTTTCCTTTTTTTTTCTATTCTTTTTAGTTTTCCACTTTCTTTTCTTTCCCTTTTCCTTTCTTCTCCTTTCTTTCCGTATACTTCTATCATATTTATAAATTTGTTCTTTTAGAACTTTACGGAGGTCATTTGATGAGGTCATATCCCAAACAGAAGTAATGGGCAATTCCCACAATTCCATGCACCAGCGTCTTATGGAGGAGGCGAAGAAGGTGGAAGAATTTCGTGAAACACAACGTGAAGTACGGAAGAAGGAGGAAGAACAGGTCAAAAGGATACAGATACAAAAGAAGGAACATTACAACAGGATGGTCAACGTACAGTATATTTGGTTTTTTTATTATTTTATTTTATTATATTTGTTCCAGCAAAGAATACAACACACAAGAGAAGAAAGACAAGGACGAACAAAGAGGGAATCTGAGGAGGGACAAAAGTTGTACAAAAACTACCACAGTCTTGTTTTCCTTAAGGTCAGGGTTTCAACCCCTCGCTGTGCACTTGTGTTCCTGAGCAAGGCACTTCATCTGCATTGCTCCTCCACCCAGGAGTATAAATTGGCACCTGAGGAGGTGTGCCTGTTACTGCGCCAATATGGTTAGGTATTGCAGCAATACTTAAGCACGTGGATCCAACGACCAGGAAAAGCAAAGGGCTTTGTAACCTACAGGAAAGGTTCTTTATATAAATACCATATAAAAAAATAACAAATTTATATTGAGGGAAGAGGACTTTTCTAATTTATAATTAACGAAACTTTCTTAAAAACTTATTACACTGTAAACTAGGCATGGCTATGCACTTTAGGGAGGCCTAGCCTAAGGAGGCTTCAGGAAACTTACCAGTTCTCTTCAAAATCTAAAAGAAAATACACTTTTTATTGCGACTAGAAATGTAGATGATATCAAATGACAATTCTATTTTAGGAGCATGTGTTATAAAATAAAAGTTTGATTTGAAAGTACATTTTTATTTATGATATACTGTATGTGTTTTTTATTATTATTATTATTATTATTATTATTATTATTATTATTATTACAGTATTATTATTATTATTATTGTGTACATGTTATAATCATTGTCATGATTATTATGTAATAATTTTTTTGCAATTAAAATTGTATTATTTTGTTATATTGTATTTTTTTTTTTTATACCACTCTTTTAGGCTGACAGTGTATTCCATTTTGATTTACTGTTAATGAATTAGCACAAATTATATTTTTTAGACTAAGAAAAGTTATGAGACAAAGTGCAGAGAAGCTGACCAGGCAGAAGACGTGGCAAATAAGGCGAGACAGTCACCGAATAGCAAAGAACTTGAAAAACTGACCAACAAAAAAGAGAAGGCACGTGCTATTGCTGAAGCTGCAGGTTTGTCATTTAAACAACCAAATATGGGCATATCATAGTTGTTTGCAACATGAACTTTGACACTGTAGACAAAGATTTAAGATTAGCCCACGTCTGATGTAATATTCACATAATGAATATAGACATCGCAGAGGCCTGTAAAAACTTGGATCTTCGTGAATGCTCACAGGACTTCGCATATATCTTTCACTGTCGTGTCGCACTTATCTTTCCTGCCTCCATATCAATGTAGCAAATTTTAGAAGAGGATAGCATAGCTCAATAGGATGCCAAAATATTAGATATGATTGAAAACGATAATTGTAGAGAATGTTTAGTTAGCACAAATCAAGTTTATATGATTATGAGATGGTAAGATAAGGGTTTAAATGCCCATATAAAATTTATCACTTGTCCTGTGTAAATTTTTGTCTCATGTGAATCGGGCATAGTGTTCATCAGAAGATTAGGAAATGGAATGGATTGAGTATCCTAGTATTGACAGCAAGCATTTTGAAAATCATCCAAGAAGGATGAAATTAATTGTATCAATTATTAATTTTTTATTATGATTATTATTAATTGGCTGATCATCCTCTATTTTTGACAGATGACCAATACAGGGCAGCTGTAGACACTCTTGAAAACGCCAGAAAAGAATGGGAAAAACAAATGGCAACATTTTGTGTAGTAAGTTGTTATAAAATCTTGCTGTCCTCATTTCATGTAGGTAGATGAGTCAGACAAGTCCAGTGGCTTATCTAGTCTTGTAAGGGAAGCTGGTGGGGAGGGGTGCGAAGGTGGAGTAGGGGGGCTCAATTATTAAGCGAGGGAGAACTTGGTTGCAAAATAAGGGGAAATGAGGTGATTTTCATCTAATTGAACATGGTTTGCTTCGAACATTTGCAATGGCGTGTACGAGCCAGATACACTACTGGACAAGTCTATTTGATTATATAATAAACATTAAATCAAATAGATAGATATAATAATAACCGTGCTCAAATATTAATATGATGTTATAATTGCCACAAGCATTACCCTTCATTGAAAAGTTCCTTCATATATTTTTAGCCCACTCTCTGAGAGAGAGGGCTTATATGATGATTCTGAGCGAATTTTGAAGTCATTTGTTTTTCTATCTCTTCCTTCGTTTGTGACGCGATTAGGCCGATCTTGCAATAATATGGAAGATAAGGCCTGGGGAATTTAAAGTATGAAGAGTTTTGCGAAAATATTGTCGGGAATTATGTGAAAAAGTATGTTTTTATATCATGTTTCTTAACACTACGGTGTGTTTCCTATGAAAGCGAGTTCGTCATTGATCAGATTGCAAATCGCCTGTATATTCCACATTGTGTTTATCAACCAACCACGGCCTGGGATGGTAAGCTTTCCGGCTAATAAATGTGTCTGCACGAGTCTAGTTGGTAGCAAAGAATGAGCCATTCTGTGGTGCTTGCAAGGATGGGTGGTCTCTCCTCTAGGAGATAAACAATGTCCACTACTGTAATGCAGGCTGGTCTAGAGCTAGAGGAAGACGAACTAGGCCTATAGGCTGGCTGGGTAGTACATGTGTGTAATAGATACAGGAAATGTAGGCTACAAGTTGCTTTTATGTGTATTAAAACACATAATATTCAAATTAGTAGCGATGAGTGTATGTGTGCAGCACATTTCGTGTCAATGTACTGTAATGCAGGCTGGCCTGACGAAGACGAATAGGCTGGCTGGGTAAGTACGTGTGTGTAGGCCTAGGCCCTAGTCTAGATCAGATACTACAGGAAATAAATGTAGGCTACAAGTTGCTTTTATGTGTATTAAACCACACATTCAAATCAGTGATGAGTGTATGGACAGCACATTTCGTGTTGTCGCACTGTGGTGTGGTTGATGACGAGGACGTTGCCGTTAGATACATGATAGCAAGGTCCCACATGGAACTTTTGTTCTAGGATGATTTTCCTTTACATATGAATTTTTTAGGTTTTCGTACCCTACACTTGGCTATCCGTAGCCAACCACATAGGCCTAGGTACGTAAATATTAGATCAGATGTTAATTACATAAAATGTAGGCCGACAGTTGTATTTAATGGGGGTGGAGTGGATTTCTTTTTTCGCGATTTACCATGGGATGGCTACTGTCATCGTTACCTAGACTTGTAGACGCCGTTGTCCATATGGTAATGATGAAGATCATTTGTGTACCTATTGACTGATGAGGCATGATTTTCAATGGCATTCCATTCCAACCATGGTATAACCAGTCGATAAATAGCCCAGTAATGAGATATTTTGTTTAGATTTCACAGCGTGTTCCATGTACCTCCTCCATTTATTTAAAATTAAATTATTAAAACATTGCCTATAATCTAGTAATGTACTAGTATACTATTTAATCTAGTAATGTATATATTTTAAAACATATTCATACTACTTAATACTGTACAGGTGTCATACATATATATATATATATATGTATATATGTATATATATACACATATATACATATATACACATATATATATGTGTATATATGTATAT